AGAACTCTTACATATTGTGCTTAGTACAAATACTTGAGCTTAGCACAACCCAACATCAGCCCACAGCCCAGGTCCACAAGGACCACAACCGTACAACCACGAACTAATGTCCAAAATTTATAACCGACCCGACCTGACCCGACCCGACCCAATATATTCGACCCATGTCCTCTTCGTATAAAAACTGGGCGTGAAAATAAAACGACACCCAATCCACGGCCAGCTTTCGCCCGTGCACGCCTTGCTGCCTGCTAACTGCAATGGAAATACTCTACGAAACCCTAAACCCTCTCGGCGCCGCCGACGACGCGACGCCGTCGCAGTCGGAGTTGGTCGTCCTCCGCAACCAGATTTCCCTCAACACCGATGGAGATCCGTTGCCGGAATCCGCCGCCACGGATTACTTATCCCTCGATGTGAACGAAGCGGAGGACAGGGGAGCTTCGGTTCCAGCAACTCCTCCTCCGCCGTCGCCTCAGTTGGCTGGAAATTCCACTCCGTCGGTGGAGAGGACTCTGGAGGGCAACTGGTTTCGCGCCAATTGTCGCTCCAAAAGCCCAATGCTTAGGCTCCACAAAGGTTCTTAATATGTTATATGCTTTTTTTTAGTCCAGATAAATGTGCTTATAGCCATGTACGATTTATTCTGATATTATTGTTTTGGTAAGTTAATGTTTAGGTTGCTTGGAACACCGTTGGCTGTGAAATTCAGCTCGCTTAGGGGAAGAAAATATTAAGTATTAGATTAGGATGTTTGATAGCTTTAGTTATGCTTTATGTGGATGATTTTGGTTTTGAAATGTCCAGAGATACTTGATTTTTGTGAGTTTCTATCACCAACTCCTGAGGAGCAAGAATCTAGGAATGCAGCTATAGAATCTGTGTCTGATGTTGTCAAATATATATGGCCTAGCGCTGAGGTACAGTGGAATTTTCATGCTTGCATGCTCGTTTGTTGTGGAGAAAGGTCAGTGTTGAGAGCGCCATTGTAACTTACCATAACTTTTGACATGCAGGTGGAAGTTTTTGGATCTTTCAAGACAGGGCTTTACCTTCCATCTAGTGATATCGATGTAAGGTTATTGGTTTGTCATAGCTTGTATTGAAGAACGATTCTCCATTTATACATCCTGTTATGATTGATTCATAAGTGTCCTTAACTTGAAGGCCCATCTGCTTATGAATGTGATGGCAGTGTATTCTAACAGACAGTGGGCCACATAGTTCAGTTGATTTGTGGATTCCCTTATAAACTGATTAATAGGATTTTCCTGGAGTAAAATTGTAACTGTTTGATTGTTAAATATGCTAGAACAAGAAGTGAACACTAAGTTATCAAACTTGGTCTTGACATTGCGTTTGCTTGTCACATGATTACTGTTTGATTGTTGAATATGCTAGAACAAGAAGTGAACACTAAGTTATCAAATTTGGTCTTCACATTGTGTTTGCTTGTCACATTATTTTTTATCATAATTTGGCTGAGCTATGTAATCAAACTTAAATTACCTCGGTGATATTTAGTAAGAATGGGGGCTTTATTTTCAGGTTAAACTGAGTATTAGCTCTTCTCACATCTGCTTATAATGTGATGCTGCTGTTGTGACAGGGTATTTTTAAGTTATAATAAGTATATTTGACAGCGCTTCACGACTTTGAAATAGATTAGAATGTGTGATGCGGAAGGTCTTACCGGGAATATTTAGATTACAGTTGATATTTACCTTAACCTTTTCCAAAGGGAGGATTTCTAGAGCATTTGGTCATATTGTTTATTGTTCGGAGGATTTTCTCTTGGTCTGGATTATCTTTTAAATTGGAAAATTGTTAATGTTATTAGGTTATGGAAATTAAGCATTATAATTATCTATGGAAATTTGATTCTTGTCAGGTTGTCATATTGGGTTCAAATGTTAGAAGTCCTCAGATGGGTCTGCATGCTCTCTCTAGGGCACTATCTCAAAGAGGAATTGCAAAGAAGATACAGGTATCTATTTTAGCGTGTTGGAGCCTTGTGTCCAGGATCTGTACAGGAAACCAAATTCACAAGAAACGAATCTATCTTGTTATTTTTACTTGATCGGCCTATGGTGATAAGTAATAAGTGAATTTATCAATAGGAGTTCAAACCCTAGGTGTTAGGACTCAAAAGAAGAAGATAATTTCTGGCACACCCTATTCATTGTTCTTTTCCTTCCGTTTACAGGGACTATAGAATCGCATTAATAAGAAAGTAGGATATTCTGCAATAATGGTCTGTATTCTGCAATAACAGGTCATTGCAAAGGCACGTGTTCCAATTATCAAATTTGTGGAAAAGAAAAGTGGCATGGCATTTGATATAAGGTTAAGGCGAATTGGTTTCTTTTAAATTACATCTCTCTCTCTCCTCTCTTTATGTATGTATTGTGTTATGTTCTTTTCCATTGCTTATTTTCCTTGGAATTAATATATATTTTCTAACAGTTTTGATGTTGAAAATGGACCAAAAGCTGCAGAGTATATTAAGGTGTACACTTCTCTCCTGCTAGATTTATTCGTTTTATTTGGTCATTCTACGAAGCTAATTTATGGTGGATATTTGCATATTGTTACATCAGGATGCAGTATCTAAATGGCCACCACTAAGACCGTTGTGTCTAATTTTGAAAGTCTTCTTGCAGCAGAGAGAGTTGAATGAGGTGATGTTTATTTCTTTTTACTTTGTTCTTTGTTCTTTGTTTTATTTTATTTTATTTTTTCAAGGAAAAGCTATTACCCTGTCATGCTTATTAAATAGTTGATACCAAACTTACTATTCTTCCTCAGGTGTACACAGGTGGAATTGGATCCTATGCTCTTCTCTCTATGCTTATAGCGATGTTGCGGGTAAGTATACTGGTGCATAACCACTTAGACATTTCTGTTTCATGCAAATATATGTTTGTAATCATGTACTAGTGAAGTTTTGCCGTATTAGTTCCGTCCCAAGTTGTCAGAATTTTTCACAATCAGAACGAGGTCCTTCAAAAGTTTTTTTGGGTTCGTGAAGGTGTAAACTTTTGGGGTAGAATATAAACTCAATAGCTAGCGAGCTAGATGTTTTGCCGATTTTATCTGTCTGTATGAAGTAGGTGGCTTATTTAGCTGGCATGCGCCTTTCCTTCCGTTTCGACACATTTCCTCTGTTCATCATTAGGAGTTTTTGGCTGATATGTTCTACTTTGCAGACTCACCATGACGGTCAAGGATCTCCTGAGCATAACCTCGGAGTGTTACTGGTATATTGATAGTTTTCCAAATGAGAGAGGCATAAATCATAATCTTTGTTTGTGCGAGATTCCTTACAACTGTTATAAAACTTCCTAGCTTATCAGTGAGATCATTGTGCAGCCTTCTAAAAATAACCTGATCTGGTCTTATGTGTTCTTGTGAAACGTAGGTGAACTTTTTTGAAATGTATGGGTGCAAGTTAAATAATGTTGATGTTGGTGTATCTTGCAATGGTAGAGGCATTTTCTTCCCAAAAAGTATTAAAGGGTACGAGATGTTTGTATTGTTGTAAAAAATGTTTTTCAGTTTTTGGTTATAATTTGTTNAAACATGATTTTTTGCTTATTATGGGCTGGTGTGGCTTTCAGGTTTTCAGTTGATGGGCGGCCATCTCTTATCGCCATTGAGGACCCACAGGTTATGTATTGAAATTTGAATTGCTGTCTTTCTATTACCCAAAAGGCACCCTCCAAAAATCGTATAACTTGTCCTGTGGCATTGTTGCATGACAGTAATAATTGTTGATTTCTCATGCCCAAATGTTTTGTAGTTGTCTATCAACCAACTCTTTTTAAGCTTCGGTTGTTTTCTACTGTTAATGTTTTCAATGAATTACAAAATGAAACAAGCATCTTTCTTGTGCGAGTTAGTGAAGTATTTTGTGAATTACTGATATATTTTTCTCTGAAAACAGACTCCAGACAATGACATCGGGAAAAATTCTTACAACTATTATCAGGTAATATTTTTTCTTCAACATCTCTGTACGGCATGTTCCTTTTACCCATAAGTGCACTACCAACTCATATAAAAATGGGGAATAGTAGGGTTTTAAATATATACTAAGCATACACAAATTATATCCAAGGGCTACCGGGGACTGTGATTGTTTACAAATTTAACCAAAAAAATATCCAATCCCAACTCAAAAGTTAACTCTACCCCACTATCCTCAATATTATCTATATAATTAAATAATATCAATCAATCATTCTTACACATCACATCAGTTTTAATTCACTATTCATTCACTCACATAATTTTAACTAACCATCACTTCACATCATCTTTCTCCTACTTTTACATCAAATCAACTTTAATTATTTTATTTTAAATATTATTTTAATATAAACTCAAAATCCACAAACAACTAACCATACTAATTTTTTCAAAATCAATTCCGGTTAAGCAAAAATATTCGTTTTGAGCGGATATATTTGTATCCAAGCACGCCCTTAGCCCCTTGAAATTCGGCATCTTATGAAATTGTTGTATTTTCCAAGGGAAAAATTGATCCATATTCACCCGTTCTCTCCCCGACTTATTGTATCCAACAGGCCAGGTCAGCATTTGCGATGGCCTTCACCAAGCTAACCAACTCAAAGACCATAGCCGGGCTTGGCCCGAACAAGAGCATCCTCAGTTCTATCATCAGGCCCGATGCCGTGCTTCTTGAACGAAAGGGCGGGCCCACCGCCAGAAAGCTGGCGGTCGGGAACTTGTTCCCGGACACTTGTGGTTCAATGGACCAACCGCTCGGCGACCGGCAGGATATGTACTGCAATTGGCCGTTGAACGATGAGGATGAGGAACCGCTGCCACGTGGAAACGGGACTCCTGTTAACAGTGAGGGAAAATCGGCGGGAAAGAAAAGGAAAGCTGCCAAGGAGAAAACATCGAGTAAGAAGTTGGCAAGAGCACGTAGGGCCGAAGACAGGCATGACGAGAATGACAAATCTAATGGTTATGGTGGCCGACGGCAGCATTCTCGGTGATTAGGGTTATTTCGTCTTAAAAGCCATGAGTTAATTATGTTTCTGTACGAGGTAACTTCAGATGCATACCAGGTTTTGATCTCTCTCTTTTTTTTTTTTTTTTTTTTTTNAGTAAGAAAAAAGGAATTGCTGTTTTGGTGAGTGTAGTGTACGGTGTGTGTGTGTGTTTGGGTTTTTGAACTACAAATCACTTAAAGAAAATTAATTGCTTGCCTTGAGATTGAACAAATCAACGAGGATGATAATAAAAAAGAACACCTGACTTAATAATTCATGTAAAAAGGATAGAAAAAATCACCGGACTTCAATGAAATATTTTTGATGGATGGATGCCATTTTTCACCTATGGTAGTAGCTAGTGGAGGTGAAAAAAATTGTGATTCATAGTATTTCATCTATTGTTTATTTTCATGGCAAAATTGTAGATAAATGAACTACCCTTAAGTTTGTAATTTAGTCACTGCCTTTTCTATTTGTGTTTAAATCACCATGTTTCATATGTTTTGTTGATCGAGGTAGAAATATAACTTTTATTAGACTTTTCATCCGTTTGTGCCGAGTCAGTCACTTCTCGTATATGCCAAGGAAGTCTATGCCAAACATGCCAATGAATCTATGCCAAATCAGTTCCAAATTAAATTTGTTTCAATATGCATAAACATATGAAATGTGGTGATTTAAATGCAAATAGCAAAATGTGGTAATTAAACTTTAAAAACTTAAAGGGTGATGCTTTAATATGCAACTAGTTTTACCCCGTGCATTTGCACCAAAAACGATATAATAGAAGATAAAGTAATTAAAAATATAAAATAAAATAAAAATCATACAGAAAAAAATAATTTGAAAAAACGAATCTAAATATTATTAAATACTTCTTTATATACAATATTCGTGGTTTCTTTATTGTCAGAATTTTCATTACAACAAATCATCATCGTTAAACATCTTTGACTTGGGACTCTGAAATTTGATTTTTCAAAATATTTGATGTATCTTTGTAATATCTGAAAATATTTTTTTATTATTGTATGACTCCAATAGAAAATAGAGATATTCATAGTTATTCTTAATTAGTTGTGAAATAAAAATAAAAATAAAAATATATAATATCAATATAAAAATATATTGTATCAATACCAAAAATATATAGTATCAATACAAAAAATATATAGTATCAATATAAAAATAAAAATATTACGTATTTAGGACATAAAAGGCGTTACATAAATTGACACCATCCAAAATAAGACCTGTCAAAATAAATTGCGTAACTGAAAGTTACATATTACTATTAAATGGTGAACATATTTTTTTATTAAATGAACACTTATTTTTATTAAATGAACTCATATTATTATTAATTGATTAAATTTTGCCAGCAATTGTATATATATATGAAATATTTTTTATTTTAATCATAATTGAAAAACTAAAAATTATTTGGTAATAAAAAATAAATTGGTAAGTTTTTCTTATACTGTCGCAAAAAAAAATAAATAAATAAATAAATTGGTAAGTTTTTCTTATACTGTCGAAAAAAAAAAAACATTACATGAAGATAAGTGAAAAGAATATATCATATTAGGCCCAAA